ACAGCATGGATCCTGATCAGACTGCGCGGATCGCTGGTCGCAAACCCATTATGTTGGTTTTGTCATGACGCGGCTCATATGATCGAGGCAAATATTATTGTTTTACCAATTATTGATTTACCAGTTGATTCATTTCAGACAAAAATTCACATTGGTAACTCATCTTGTCATCTAAAAGGGAGAGCATTAGTGGCTAATTTTGTTCGATATGGTGTAAAATGTTAAAATGTTTTATGTTGAATGGAAATTTAGTCGCACCGACACTGTAAAGGCCGTATAGTGACTTTCCAGATTTACTGATCGAGGAAGGAAACCTCAGGTGTTCCTTCGTGTAGTATTTCACTCTCGAACGGGCACCTGAGTAGAACTACTGACTTTCCGTAATCTAGCCGAGTGGCTTCCACATCTGAAAGAATCCAAGGACATGACGGGATTCGAACTCAAAGGGGAAGACGAACTCAAAGGGGTAGTGGTAGCGACCGTAACCACTCGGCATGGAGGCCCCAAAAGGTGGTGGGAAAAATGTTAGCTAAAACGATAGCATTTAAAAAAATGTATCTTATGTTAACATTAAATATATCAGTAAAAATATTGTTATTACTATGAAACTAAAACGGGACAAATATACTTAAGGACAATGAAAACGCACGCCCGCACTATATGCATTTTATTACATGAAAACAAAACACTAACGACTCAATTAGATATAATATCATTACTTTAATATAAAACACACATTTAACAACTGAAAATAATTAGAAATGTTTGAAATCAAATGTACACCATTAAATCGAAGAACCTAAGGTGAAAATCCCAAAATCACACTTTTTTCATCACAGTAATGCAAACTTAACAAAGGCAAAAACCAAAATGAAAATCCAAAACAAAGTCACTCATTAATGTCTATTCGTAATGTCACCGTCGGGATCTTTAGAAACGACAATGTCCTCCATCAGCGTCTCTTGCAGATGTACATCGTCGCCTCATAGATCTTCAGTGCGGATCGATAGTCACCTGTGGAATCTGACGCCATTCGGTCTGTAGTGTAGTGCAAAAACGCTGGTGAAGCCGATAAATTGTAGACCGATGGACATTAAAACGGTTGGTGCTTTGTTTGACTGAATCTGTCCTAAATCTACCCAGCGGTAAAGGTTTCTTTGTAGAACCATTGCATACAATTTGCTAGCAAGTCTTCAGTAGAGTTTGAAAAATATCACCTTTTATAGAAGAAAAGTGAGAATATTAAATTTCCATGTGAGCTTTTACGATTTCTAAAACTGACCATTAGCATAGTTTAATATTCATTTTCATAAAGATTTTAATTGCTCATTTGTGTCTAACATTTCTAGAAAGGTGTGTAAAACAAGTTAATAATTAAAAATAAATAATTTCATTTCAAAAAGTAACCATGAATTGGTTCAATCTGTTCTTCTGTTGTGATCTTATCACAATTAGCCAAAAGTGTTACTTTTGATTTTCCGGGTACTGTCTTTATTATGCAATAACTTCATTAAAATGCAATCATTTTTCATAACTTTGGTATCTTAATGACCGGAATGCATTCGGTTTTATGAAACTGTGAAAAAATATTTAAAAGAAATATATTTTCCTTATTAAAATGCAATTATCTTGACCGTGCATTTTCACTGTCCTTAAGTATAATTCCATGTTTTTTTCCAGTCGTCCACGACTGGCTGTTGGCAAAAATATTAACTAAAACGAGTACGGGATTTACATGTAATTATTTAAAATTTAGCCTTGTTTCCATTATTTTTGAGGACCATAATAACAAATGATAGGGAAAAAAACATGTTAAGGTATTGTTTTCTTTTATATGTAATAAATCAATGCGACGTTTTAACGTAAAACTATGTTAATACATGTATATTAATAAAACGCAAGTACATTTTTTAATATTACGCAAGTAATATTACATTTTTACATACAACATAGCTTTTGTGAACAAGGAAAGAACACGCCTTTTATGAAATTTACCTATTTATAATAGGAAGACTATAAAATGTTATTTTTTAAAAATCCAGTCCAGTCCAGTTTCAAAAACCTCTGGAAGGCCTTTTAATTATGTTTATTTTTTAAGGAAATGTTTACATTGTTCATAATGTTTTGTTATTTATTAATAATAATGATAATAATAAAAATAATTTATTATTATTATTATTATTATTATTATTATTATTATTATTATTATCATTATTATCATTATTATTATAATAATTATTATTATTATTATTAATATTATTATTATCATTATCATTATATCATCATCATCATCATCATCATCATTAATATAATTATTATTATTATTATTATTATTATTAATATTATCATTATTGTAAGCAAACCTACGCAATAACGTTGTGTATTTTTTATATCCATTATTCAGATTTTACCTTACTTATTGCTCACGGAAATGAATTTCTTATTTCTCGCGGAAATGAATTTTAAAATTAATTATATGTATATATAACTGATATTTTTCAATTAAGGAAAAAGGAAAATATTGTTACATAATGCGATGAAAAAATAATTATTTCATGCAACTTCAAACATAATGGGAAGGTGCAACATAATTTCCTGTTTTTATGTGTAATTTATATTACGAGCAATTCATTCAGTCTTCAAACTTTAACACAATAATGACTTAAATGATTATATTTTGATAGTTATATCATTAACACTTCCATGTGTCTTTATCCCATACATAAAAATTGAAACAACGTGGCACAACCACCACCCCCTCTCCAACACCGCCTATTTATCACTTAGTTTTGGGTTCGAAAAATTCATTAACACGATTTTTGTATCTGTGACCCCCTCGACAAGACGAGTGTACAGTATAGTGAGATTACTTCTATACCGGGGATACAATCCGGGCATTGTGACATAGTTTGTTTAAATGCAATACACTTATCAGGAAGCGAGCAATTAAATACTAATATAAAGTTTTTTGAAGTCATCACATGAGTGGCATCTAATGTTGCCTTACATGTGTATCCCTTGGAAGTTATACATGTACTCATAGTAAAGGGTAAAAATGTTGGTTTGACTGAAAATGTACTAGAAAATATCAAAATACAGTAAACGCCGCTTATAAAGATATTCAGGAGACCGCCAAATTTGTATCGTTATATCGGGATATCGTTATATCCGGGACACATCCAATAAAGAAAACAAGACTTTTGTGTCGAAAATGCGGCATCGTCATCGTTATAAGCCGTATATTTTTAAGCGATATCGCGATAAGTTGAGTTTACTGTATTTGGACATTTTAAGTGTTTGTATTTCTGTGAGTAACATCAGTAATACTATCCTACTTTTACGTAAAGAACTGTAGGGTATTTGCATCTCACATCAAGAATGTGCTTATAAAAATTACAGAGTCATTTGTTATAGAACGATGCTGCTGAAAAGTCAAAGAACAAAACATGATTTGCGAATGACGGCAATAGGTTGACATAGAGATCGCCGCAGCTAAAAACAAGGGTAATTAATTATAACGGCGGAAGAAATTTTATTTAAGGTTCACACGTAAAAGCAAATAATGACAACTATGGTAACACGATTTTTACAACAAAGAACTAACAAAAATACTTAACATGAACTTGCATGCCAAGAATGTGGACAATATTGGAATAAAAAATATCTTTCAAACAAACGGGGATCACATTAATGATTTATAGGGAAGCTGTAAGCTATGAATAATGGTTCATCTTTTATTTACGAGCACCACCAACACGTCTAGTGTTTTTCAACCTTTCCGTACTTTGAATGACACATATTCGTGTTTTTTCCGGACAGTAAAAAGTGCATTCCAGATTAAACTGTATTATTAGGACAAATATTGCAACACTACAATGAACGAATCACAATCATGGCAGGAGTCCTTTATACGACAAATAGACAAATAATGCACTTTCCTTTTTTTGCCAATTTTAACATTATGTAGGTCATACCTCCGCGGTCGGTCCACTGTTTAACAACCAAATAATTACAAACACCTCCACAAGTGACCGACCGCTAATCCTACATGATTTCTGAACAAAGTACTATTAGACTCAATCTCCGAGATCAGTTTTCAAGGTAAATTTCGCCTCGTCCGATAATCGAATCAGCGACCCCTTGATAACAAAATAGGAAGATCTCCCTATTGAGTTTTGTTGGTGACGTCAGAGATGACGTCATCGTTGGTTACCGGCGGTATATATTCCGTATAATTTATACGTAAAAGTTATGAGAGGATATAACACTGGCTGGGGCCGTTAGACCGAGACGATCTTTTTGCAGATCCTGAAACATCCCGAGATGTCGCCCCAGCCAGTAGTGTACCCCCGTTACTAACGAGTTTCATATGAGCCGCGTCACGATAAAACCAACATAATGGGTTTGCGACTAGCATGGATCCAGCTGCTGGTCGCAAACCCATTATGTTGGTTTTGTCGTGACGCAGCTACTTTACAGATATTTATAATCTGTGAAAAAAATCTTAACTGATATATACAAGATGCTGAAAAATCTCAACTGTTATATATATTAGTTGAGATTTTTCATTTCTTATATGAATCAATGAAAAAACTTCACTTTTATATAGCAATACAGTTTTCAAATGCTCATTGAAAGTGTACCGAGTATAATGGTAAGAAAGAACAAAGAAAACGTTCCGAACAATGCGATTGTAGTACATTATCAAGTGCGGTATACTATTCCGCGCTGCCCGTTCGTGTCTGAAATAATGCACTGAAGGGCACCTGAGGTCTTCCTCCACCAGTAAATTGAAACGTCGCCAAATGACCTATACTGTGTCGGTGTGACGCAAAACCCAATCAAACAAACAAACAAACTAACAAACTATTCCGCGCATACATTGTACTACATTATCTAGATAATGTACTATGTACGGAACATATACCGTTGGTAAAGGATGATGTTGTTACAAACTGGTCTGAAAATAAGTGAGGAATGAACTACGCATGAACACCAAGAAAGAGAATAGCTTTTATTTCGGTATTAATTCAACAAATTCGGACAAATGAGGTTCGTCATCAAAAAAGCAGCGCATGTTTAGTTTAGTTGAAGTAGTGATTTTGCTGGCTATATTAATATTTTCGGGTCCGCGTGCGGCACCTTATTCTAACACAATTTGGCATTAAAATCCACCATAAACATGCTTTTAAAATATGTTAATCAAATGTAGGTGTTTACTTGTTTGTTAAAATGTTCTTGTCGGAATTCATGTCTTATAGTCGTAGTACTTTCGTTAATGTCCGATAGTTTCCGCATAAAGTGTTGACAAGCGCCTTAACTGTAATATACATTAATATGCATTTCTCTGTTTAGAGCTATTTCATTGTTGTTTACGATTTTTATTGCAAACCGATATGTTATGCAACAGTTATGCAACAGTTTCATTGCACGTTTGAGACAAATATATGAATTGCATAACTGTAAAAACGGAGGCAATTTTGTAATGAACGATGTTTCAAGAAATAAGTAACAAAATGAATAATGCCTAGTTATAGCCATTCAAATTAAATTAGAATGATAGTATGAAATGCAATTACTTGATTCCGAAATGTTAAAATATTTATAACGTCAGAAATCTATCTTAATTTGCTAAAAAGACGTCTAAAATGAGCGCGCACCTCTTGTCTAAATGTGGCCGCAAATGCGCAGTAGATAAACGGGTTGATGGCACAGTTCAAGAAATAAGTGCGTAGGAAAAACTTATAACAAGCTCTTCCAATATTCGACATTGACTGTACAAATGTCGCATCAAAGGCTTCTTTCATTCTTAGAATTAGGTACGGAAGAAAACTGACCACGAACACAAACGAAATCAAAAACATAACTAATGCAGATTTCCTTGCTTTAGCCTGTCTTTGGGATGTAAGCCGTAATTTTGTACCAGTGCTTACTGTTGACATTTTTCGAGAAATGGTACTATGCTCCCTGAATAAGTTCTGCCTTGATTTTACGGCTACAAAGCTTGTATCCGTTGTGACGTCATCGCCGGAAACGTTGTCATTTCCTTTGCTTTGATCACAGATTGATGACGTTGAAATACGCCGCCCCAGCTGTGTGAAGATTTTCTTGCCAATCATGGCGTAAAACACACCAAGGAAAATTAGAACAGAAACAAACAGAATCCACAAGAATCCATTGTAAATAAGGGCGTAAGTTGTGCCTTGGTACTCGTTCTGTATGGTACACGTGCTACTGGTTAAGTTGTGGTCTGAAAATTCTTTTGTATACGTTCCAAACAGAATAAGTGATGGCCATGAAAATGCTAAAGCAATAAAAACAGTCGCTAAACACATTAACTTTGCCCTCTTTTGGCTGATTTGCTTCTTTAGTGGTTTACATACCCTTAGGAATCTGTCAATACTGATAAGACAAAGTCCAAAACCGGAAGTTATAACCGGCCAAATGGTGAAGAAAATTGTGAATTTACATAACCACGTGTTCGTGTAGGTATACTGCTTCACAACGTTCACAATTTCTAGAAATAGCACAAAGCAACTGATAATATCAATAACTGCCAGCCACCAAATGAAAAAGCGCGAAACAGAATTCTTTGACGTCACTCTATAAACTAAGCAGACGATTATGTTTCCTGGAATTCCAGTGCTAGCTATTATTCCGAGAAACACTAACAACGGCGTCAGAAGCTTCACTTCTTCTGCATTTAATTCTTCGATGGTCACAGATCTATTCATTTCCTAGCTTGTAATCAACAAATTCCGAATCACTTAATTATATTTATAAAATAAATATAAAAATGAAAATCACTGTTTAGATTCTATCTTTTTTTCAGAAGAACAGTTATTTTTATGTGAATCTTTCTTAAATTGTTAACACCATCGTTCCCATCTTGACTTTAGATCAAAATGGCTTAGTTGGTAAAATGATTACAGTTTACAATTGCGTACATCTTAGGTTATGTTACTGAAACTAATACCAAATATCGCGTATCTTTTATTCGTCTATTGTGTGTAAATATCTTCCTTATTGTTCCTACTATCAATAAAACCTTTGCTCGAGCATTGTCGCACATGCCGGAAGTTGTCTCCATTGTTTACTGAAACAACAATACGATTCCAATTAAGGGTCAATGAACGTTGTCCGCAGGCAAAAGATAAATACAAGTGTGTGTACGTTGTACTATAAATTCATAGAATTGGAGTTTACTTTCATTTTAAAGTTATTCTATTGATAGTAGCTGTATGAAGAAGATGAATTATCAATGTGTTTCAGTAATATGAAAGTAGGCACAATTCTAGAAAGGGGAAGACATATAAACTTTTTTTTTAAATGACGGACCAGATAAACACATAAAGAATGACACTAGAGTCGGAAGTTTTGAGGTGAACTATTATTTCTTGAACGTCCCCGAATTAAATTTGCTTCGCTTCTGTCCAAAACTATAGATAATAATTATTATGCAAAGAAATCTTTAATGCTTAAACAATGTAACACTGTAGAACCTCGAACGGTGGCTGATTTGTGCCATTCCTGTTTTCGCTCCGCGACCCCGCCATTTTAAGTTGTTGATTCTCGACCTTTTCCGGGCGCAAACACACTAATTAGCGGGTCGCCGGGCGAAGTTTTATAGTTTATAAAATAGTTTTCTTAATTCTCGCTCCGCGTCAACGCTAATTTGTTAATGCTCGACTTTTCGCTTGTCGGGTCGCTGGGCGAAAACACAAATGACACAAATAAGCCACCATAGTATCTGTCACAATGAGCAAACCCAAGGAAAAAAATGAGCCAATCAACGGGTATTCTATGGAGTGTGGGTTATTAATAAGAGCACTCCAGGTAACAGAAAGGTTCCCAAACTATAAAACAAATACGGTTTATATTTACTCGTGATTTCGTCAACTACCAGTAACCCATGAAATCTTTGTTCATCCGAATTTTTTATTTACTTATTATCTTTTATTTAGTTTATTTATTTTTTATTCCGTCATAACAGACGGTAAGAAAAATAATATAAACTTTTTCCTCTATATATTTCCATTTGAAAAAAATATGCGCTATTATTTAGATGCAAATATGCCTTCATTTGTTCATATATTCAGACAGAGGTCTTTATTCGACGTTATATACTGACGTCATGATATAAGAAAGAAGTACATTTTGTACCTGTAAAAATCATCCCTGTACTATACAAGTAGAGATATTGATGCTAAAGCATCAAGTCGCCGGATAGAAAATGACTGTATTATCATAAATATAAAAAAATCAGTTTAATTAATGGTTCAGGTATAAAGAAAAGAGGTACAATTTATGTTGAGTAACTGTTTATTCACAATAAAACATCATATATGAAGCAAACTTGCTTATTGTTAAGGAACTGCTATGATTATTAAGCAAGTATTTCGTACGTTAGTTTACGTAACTTATTATGATTTATGCTAAAGATTTTATTGATAGTATAGATCTCGATATTAAATTAATTAATATGTGGTAAGTATAGGACGAAGTTGTGACCTAGTAGGCCAAATTCGAATCTTTGAAAATCCCTTTTGCAATTTTCATGAAACTATTTTTTGCGCTATCGAAAAAAATAAGCTATTTAGTTGAAATCAATATTCCTGTCGTTACATACGATATATTGTTAACGTTTAATTGCCTTTCAGTTCGATAAAATATTAACAAAAAGATATTTTATTAGTTTTCTTTATTATGTGTCGTACCGTTTTGGTAACCTGCGCGACGGAAATCGACGGAATATAACGAAGACGACGATTACCACTATTTATTTCAATAAATGTGCCTCTTTAGCATAAATCTATTTTGTGATGTTCAACCTAAACTAAACTATTGAACATTGACAGAAAGGGCAAAATTTAACCCTTTACCAAGATAAAATGAAAAGGTTTTGAAAATTTATTTAATTCTTTAATGTTCTAATCCTTTCTAATGATATAAAATATGAAACTGATTAATGAAAGATAACTTTGTAACTATTTATACATTTGCATCTAATTAGCCCCCATACCGTTTTCCAACTAGTATGTCTTATCAGCAATCTGTTACTATTAATAGATTCTATAACTCTAACATACAACGTGTAGTCACGTGATTCTTACAATAGAACAGGGAGAATCTGTTTATAATTAGATAAAATAATGAAATATAATAGGTGTCATAAGATATAAAACAACCAGATAATTTAAATGTGTCATTTTAAATATCATGCATGATTTATCAATCATAAAATAGCAACGCTTGACACTTTAAAAAAAGTAAAAATATCCCTACATTCAATGACTGGTCCATAGGGATACGTTTTTAATTCATTTTATGAAAATTGTAATGTTGCTTTTTAAGATGTCAATATTTGTATATTTTATTTCATTTAGCAACGTTAATTTATTTTTGAATTTTTAAGATTCTGAAAAATAATTGTGGTCCTTAATTGTTCAGTAATTGATTTGCTTTTATTTTCAGATTTTAATGCCTTCTCCTACCATAGATATAATATTAAACTGTTACAAACATAGTCGCCGGTTTCTACCGGCGACTAATAATCAACATTGTTCATATTAAAGTATAAATATGCACGGTTTATTATTCAAAAAGCTTTGTAATTAATCATTCACTAATTTCGGCTTCCTATACGCATTTGAACTCGAAATGTGCATTTTTCTAAAACAGTGTTATCTATTTTCTAAATAAGGATGTAAAATGTAATTCGGCGTTAGAAAAGTTCAGATTGACTAGATATGCATTTGAATATATATATATATATATGAGATTATAATTATTATAATAATTCTTGTATTATCTTTTTAAGCAGCACGCCTCCAGATTAATGCTTATTTTCATGAAAATTTTGTAAAATGTAATTAAAAGAATAACATTGTAAAGTAACCAAAAGGAAGAAATTTACACATTAGCATTTACATCCCACGTTAATTACAAAAATATGTCAAAAATTGCTATTACTGCGTTAGTCACGCAGTAGAAATAGAAATATAGTTGCACACAATGAAAAATTAACTATTAATCGCTTATAACATGTATATTATTATTTGGATTTTGCATCTTTCTCTTTTTCCTAAAATCTTAGTACATTCTCAATTTTGAATTTATTGAAATATTTTCGCTCATCTTGAGGCATGCTGCTTTAATTCTTTATTTATTTTAGATACCTACATAATATTAATATAATGATTTGTTATGACCAGGGGTAATAGCTGTAAAGTCGGTGAACGTGCGTAAGCATGAAACTTAGACTATAAAATGCAATTACTTACAAATAAAAGAACCACAAAGACTTAAAATAAAGAACGGGTCTCAAAATGCCCATAATTCTTAACATCATTAAATTTGAAAAGTTTATGAAGTAAAAACGCCAAACATCTTGAATATACAAATAATTAGTAATTTGATTTCGCTTACGACCAAATAAATTTCCGATGAGTAATTTAAGGAGGGAATTTTAAGTGTATGTATATTTACAATAACTTTCCTGCTAAAGTATAATTTCCGGTAACCATTGTTCTTAAGTGGTACACTCTTATAATTCTATGAATCTAGAATTGACATAATTTCCATACTAAATTAAAATTTCATATTTTCTAAAAGTCAGTGATGGTACATGCTACAAGTGACCAACTTATCAATTTATCATCGCTACTTCTGCAAATATCCGAGATATTCCGATATGACAACACATTTCCGATCGATTTTTCATAGCAAAGGGCCGCGTCGTAAAAAGGTCTATTGCTTGATTTGTTAATTTAAAAGTACATTGTTTTATAAGGAAAGGGCATTGAAAGGTTTTCATAGCTTCCGGTCCAATCTTAACATGCTTCAAATAGCGGTATTCTTTCTTTGTATTGCTAGAAATAAATGTGACCAACTTTCTAAAAAGTTGGACTGAAACAGGTGGTATTCATAGCTGATAAGCGGGCTGGTCTTAATTCTGGATCATAAAGAGCAAAAAATTCCGTTCTTTAAAAAAAATGGTCTTAATATCGGGGTGGTCTTAATTCCGGAATGGTCTTAAGTAGTTATCCTACTGTACATGAATATTGTGGTTAAACTTGCGCCAAGCAACCGAAACCCTTTGACTTTATTATGTACCATGTTGTTGTTTTACGCAAGGGGTCTCCATCGCCGAGTAATAAGGTCCCAACGGCTATCCAGAATTATTTTACAGAAAAAAATATTTATTTGATTTTTTTTTTAAAGCTAGAATCTTAAGTATACACACCGAAACTTTGTCGCATGGCATCGATGTGACTCAACACATAACAAAAATAAAAACAAAATCTAAAATTTCAACATTTTAAAACATAAACATAATTATAAACATATAAACAAATAAAAAGATAAACATAAAAAAACATAATGGCATTTATATTACAGTGAATGACACAACATTTACAAGCTTACTATATGTATATACAAATGCAATCTATCTAAATAAGAGGAAAGCAGTATTAAATGATTGATCAAAGTCAATTAATTAATTAATTAATTAGATTATTAAAAAGTATTCATTTTGAATGACACAAATTCTGATATAATGTTTTTTTCCGGTTACCAGCTGATAATCTGGCTAAATATACGTATTTTTTTACAATTTCCGTGAAGCACTGTGTTTAGAATTATTCAGTTTAAATAATTGTATATTTGACCAAGAACGATTCAATGTAATACGGACAAGCACGTAAAACATAAGAAATAAAATGATACTCCGTTTCAATAACATTTTCACTTGTATTGCAGTTTAAACGCAGTAGTGTTTTACTTTCATTACTTTTCAGTTTTTGTTCTTCATTTTTAACAATTAATTCAAATTACAATAGAATAATTCTAAACTTAGTGCTTGTTGTCTTAAAGGAACTTTATTTGAATAAAGTAATAAATTTAATTACCTGTCAAGTTATCAAGAACTTTTTTTTCAAAAAGAAACATATATATCTATCGTATATACTTAAAATGACATACATAATATCAAATATATTAATCAAGAAATATCTAATGCCATTGGTACGTTTATTACCGATCTGTCACATCATGAGTTCAAACAAGACTGAATCATTACGCTATGCAGAAATTACTCGGTATCAAATCTTCACAAACTTTCAAGCTGGTGTCATAAAATGAGCGCTTTTCATGTCCATCTGAACCTGCTGACGATACGTCTAAAATGTGCACGCACTTCCTGTCTAAATGTTGTCGCACATGCGCAGTAGATAAACGGATTGATGGCGCAGTTTAAGAAATAAGTGCGTAGGAAAGACTTATAAAAAGCTCTTCCGGTATCCGACATAGACTGCACAAATGTCGCATCAAAGGCTCCAATCATTCTTAAAATTAGGTAAGGAAGGAAACTGACCACGAATACAACAGAGATCAAAAACATCATAAATGCAGATTTTCGGGCTCTAGCCTGTCCTCGTATTGTTGAACGTTTACTAAGCGTTGACATATTCCGAGAAATAGTATTTTCCCTAAACACGTTTTGAACAGTCAAGCTCGTGTTCGTGCTGACGTCATCGCGAGAAACTGGGTCTAGTCCTTTAGGTTCGTCACTATTCGACACCCTTGAAGGACGCAGCCCCATCTGCTTGTATATTTTCTTGCCAATTATGATGTAACACACGATAAGAACGAATAAAACGATAAAGAATAATATCCATAAGAACCCGTTGTAAAGGAGGGCATAAGTTGTGCCTTGGTACTCGTTCTGGATGGTACACGTACTACTGGTTAAGTTTTGGTCTGAAATTTCCTCTATATACGTTCCAAACAGAATAAGTGCTGGCCATGAAAATGCTAAAGCAACAGCAACAGTTACTAAGCACATACACTTTGCCTTCTGCTGGCTTATTTGCTCCTGATTATGTTTACATACCCTTTGAAAACGATCGTAACTTATTAAACACAATGCAAAAGCAGACGTTATAACCGGCCAAATCGTGAGGAAAATTGTGAATTTACATAACCACGTGTTGGTGTAGGTAAACTGATTAACAACGTTCACAAATTCTAAACATATCAAAAAACAACTGACGGTATCAATAACTGCAAGCCACCAGATGAAAAATCGTGAACCAGACTGTTTTGATTTCGCCCAATAAACTACACACACGGTTATATTTCCTGGAATTCCCGTGAAAACAACCATTCCGAGGAAAACTAGTAATGGCCCTAGCCTCCCCACTTCCTCTGAATTTAGTTGTTCTATAGTAAGCGATCCGTTCATATTTTAGGTGGATCCAATGTTTTCATATATCCTTAAATCATATAACATACACAACTTTGTATGTAAGTTAGCTCTGAAAATATGATTGAGTTTCAAAGAAACTCTTTACAAGGAAACACTTTAAACTATTAACTGTTATATTTATGTTCCTCTTTCACGTGTAAAACGTCATTTATTACGGAAATTAATTTCCTATATGTGCTTAAGATTAAATCAGCAATTCAAAGTAAAGTTACTAAAATGAATCTAAAGAAAAACGTTATGTGAATGTGCACGTCCTTGCAGTCACGTTTATAATTATTTTATAAATAAAGAAAGAGCTGACCAGTTAAGAAAAGAAATGTCCATTGCTCTGTCCATGACATCACAGTTTTATAAGTGAAACGGTATATAAAAAAAATAAGTCAATATTAAAATATCTCTCTTTTTTAATGTTTTAGTAAAAAAAAACAAACACAAGTACAGAAGAATGTTATGAGATTTAAACGAAAAAAATCATAAATGTCATTAATTTTTGTTCTTGATTTGAATGCGTCACGTGACCGAAGTCTTTATCAGTCATGTACTAATACATGTATATATATTTAATTACTTATGTATATTTATCCATAGATTAGCATCTCTTATGTATATATCCTATTTTACACAGGATAACAAGTACTTAGGGCCACTGAGTTATTTATCGTTCATGGGAAGTAAATTTCAAAATTGAAAGAAACAATGGCAAAGGGTAATCTTATTGTGACTTCCCCCTGTTCACTCACTATTTAACCCTTGGATGGGCGTAGTTTCATTAAAAGGTTAATGTTGATGTCTGTTCAGGAAGTTATAGAAATGAATAAATTTCAAATAACCCTAGTTTCGGTCTGTCCAGAAATTTACAAACATTAATTTCAATCAAGCCAATTTAGAAAAATGTATACATGTGCATATGATGCATGGAATGCTTGTTCTTATTATTATTATTATCATTATTTTTATTATTATTATTATCATTAATATTATAATATTATTATTATTATTATTATTATTATTAATTATTATTATTATTATTAATTTCTTTTATTATTATTAGTATTATTATTATTATTATTATCATTATTATCATCAATTATTATTATTATTATTATTATTATTATTATCATTATTATTATTATTATGTAATAGTTATAGTATATGAAACGAGGTAGTTAAGAGGATATAAAACACTTGTTGGGGCGATTTTTTTTTTTTACTTTTTTTGCAGAAACCGATAATTTATGCGATAATGTTGAACTATGTCACTTTTTTGTAAGTTTACTCTCTACATGATGAATGATAATTTACTTTTCTCGCTGATTTTGCATCATAAACAAACGCAAAATTGTAGTCTATCCTTAACAAGTACAATGACAGAAGTGAATATAAAAGTTCATAATTATTATACTTAAAGGCACACTATGCCTCAGATACGTAAAAAAATATTACTTCTTAAGCAAGGGCAAGCATGAGTTTTTTTAATGTACCTTTAATAATTTTAGATGCTTGTTACCTGAAGACAGTAGTGCTAAACGTGGAATTATATGCCAATAAAGGAGCATAATGTAAAAAGAGTAGTACAATGTATTTTGTATACTTTTAAGTACACGTTGCTTAGAGATCAACAGTAAAAAAAAGATCGTTAAGGTCTTTGGAAAATGAGTAATATTTTGAAAACCATGATTAAAACCAAAGATTAAACGTTTTTGAGAAATGAAGAAATAAAATTTCAGTGCTTTGGGTCTTTAATTATTCGGTCAATGAATTCCAAGGATCATTTCTTCTTGAAATGTAACTTAGACTAAACAATTATAGGAAAAACAATGCCCATCGTCAATTACTGTGGTGGAAAAATATGGAAATGACAAGTTACATAAAGGTCCATTCTATTTCTATATTTAACTTAGAAAGGAAATTTTATCGCCAGACCATTGTCTTTACAATTGTTGTCTGTTTATTGTAACTTCCTGTACTTAAAAGTTTGAAGTGGTAATTTTACTGTCTTTGATTAAGTGGAATAGATATTGACACGCAAAACAGAACATTATCTGTTTATCTATACATCGTTATATCGTCGTACATATATTTCTTGTTGTTGTTGTTGTTGTTGCTGTTGTTGCTGTTGATGTTGTTGTTGCTGCTGCTGCTGCTGTTGATGTTGTTGTTGTTGCTGCTGTTGTTGTTGTTGCTGTTGTTGTTGTTCGGTTTTACGTCGCCCCAGTTCTGTAAACGACGTGTGGCCACATTCCAGCCTTACTGATGTTGGAAGACCCTCAAGTGCACATTCCTGTATGTTTGTATTAAAGTAATAACTCAAATTATTAAAGCTTATATAATTATGCGAATACGCTTTGTACGATACGATACGACTTACTTACCAATGCCGAGTAATATGGAGGATTGCCGCGATAAAGATAGCGTTTATCTCTAAACCTACTAAATTTCTTTAATGAAATTGTCTTGCTTTATATTTGGAACAGTCCATTTAAAATTTAAGGAAATTCGATTTCAAAATACATAAATTATGCTACTGTCAGTATAGACCCTGGTCACAATGTAGTCCTCCATTTGAAAAAAAAAGTCGCATGTTCATTTTTTTAGAGCGTTACATTTGTCGGAAAATGTGGATTTGAACAATGTGAAATAAAACTTCAAATCCGCGGAACACGTCTAATTATTTTGTACTAAGTCATAGTGCACAGATTAAAGTGCAAGGCTAGCATAGTATGGGTGGTAAAGGCTTATAATAACGGGTTCAACTGTAACAAATCAATCGGAACATCTCGGCTATTATTTAAAATAGCCGTCCGGTTAGCTCAATAGGTAGAGCGTTGGACTGTGAATCGGGCGACCCGGGTTCGATTCCCGGACGGCGCAGGTCACTTTCCTCGTGATTGATCATGAAATCCTTTCTACGGTAATTCGCACTGTACCTCTGCTCTGATATATACAGAAGTTTCAGTTCCTTGCAAAAGTGAAGGCATCTTGTACTGGTAAACTGCTTGACAGCCTGCCCAGGAACGATGCGGGGTTGAACTGTGCTCTGAAGAATTCAATGTGGCTAAGTGTCGTGATACGGAGTGAAAACTACCACCACCACCACCTATTATTTATAATTCTTTTCCGAAGTGTGACGGAAAGGGCCGAGAAGTTGCGATTGCTAAGATATCTTTAATATTAATACGTAAATGCTTTGATATAATCTCTTTCCAATAATTTAAACCCTTTTATTCATAAACCAATACTTATTTAAACCTATTATAGAATGAACGACACTTAACAACTATGCGATTGAAGAGGATACCACATAAACATTTCTTTGTGAACAAAGATAATATCTAGAGAAACTAAGATGCGTGTTTAAACGTTTTATTTTCTGCTTGTTCTACCTACTTATGTACGACATAATAAGTTTTTCAGAGATCTTAACATCCACGAAATCTTCCTACAGCAGTTTCTATTTGAACTACTCACGAGTCGTGTCGTTTATAAATCAACAAAAATAAAACGGTTTTTTTTTCTTTGACAATTGTTTATTTCAATAAAATATTTCCCGCGCGCCAACACTTTTTAAAAAAAAAATATATATACGCATTTAAAAATTATTTTTAAAATGTTGTAAAAGCAAGACATTTTCTGTTCCAGTTAAAGAAAGTGTATAAAAATATGTCATAGGTAATTCAAGATGGCCTTGAATGTCCCTTTTGATACACGTTATTTTTCAGATGCATACTTTCTGTTTCTGTGTATGTAACACAAAAATTAAGATATGTAAGGGAAGCTAATTAAAACGCATAAAACTAAATAAATACTTAAATTCCTTAAATAGATGTGTCTAAATTATAGATTTGGAACTGTCCATTATCAATTTTTGGGAAATCAACATAAAAATTTGCTTTTGATATGCATTCTTATCTGAGACAGCACGGAACGTAAAAAATACCCTTTAAAATAAATAGATTCTACTAAAATGATAAAATGAAATGCACAGAATTTATAGTCAAATGTTCATTTTAAACAAACCCTGTTCCAGAGTTCACATGCTTAAAATAATATGCTTAAAATATATTATGGTTATCGAAAATAAAGGGTACCGAAAAAAAGCCGAAGAGGCAAGCGTGCAAAGATATTTAACTCTTACGGGAAAGGAATAGTGATCTCCCTTCTTTCAGAGGATGAGTAATATATTTCCTTTACCAACAAGAGTGTAGATAAGAACATAATTGTAACATGTAATTAACTACTGATAAAAAGATAAGCTTAAATACAGGAAAATAGACAAGCGTGAGTTCTGTACCGTTTTTGCTTTATTTGTTTTCCTTGATTATCCCCACAGTTTTTGTTGTTGTTTTCAAGTTTTCTATTGTTTATTTCAGAATTATTGTTGTTATTGGTTATGATTGGTTCTGCTTTCTCTTTTCTTTCTTTCATGTTTTTTTTTTCCTTCTTTTTTTTAGTTTTCTATTTTTGCAGACGTGTCCTGGCTGTGATCTAGAGATAACTATATAGGATAAAGAACTAGGCTTAACTAGGGTTACAAATGAAACTAGGACATAAATATATCTACAGGGAAACATAAGATAATTTATGCTAATGGGATTTAATTGTTAATATTAAGGAAAGAAAATCGACAGGTCACAAATATAATTAAAACGGCAGTTTCAGAGGTTTGTAAAAATATACAGACTAATTTTGCCTTTGTCATTACAACTAAAAATGTTCTAAATTAAACCCTGTAGATATTGTTCTTTTAAATGCGAGTGTGTGGAGCAACGGGGCCGTGGGTCGATTAGATCTGAGGACATCAAACATTAAATATTTGAGCCGCGTCACGACAAAACCAACATAGTGCGTTTGTGACAAGCATGGATCCAGATCAGCCCGCGCATCCGCGCAGTCTGACCAGGATTCATGCTGTTCGCTGTCAGTTTCTCCACTTGCAATAGAGTTGGTAAGCGAACAGCATGGACGCGGATGCGCAGGCTGGTCTGGATCCATGCTGGTCGCAAACCCACTATGTTGGTTTTGTCGTGACGCGGCTCATTTAGTTATTCATTAACACATACAAGTTTATCGTAAAAACGTAATTGCCATAAACTACTGAAGTTATTAATTTTGAATACATGTAAACTATTTTATTTTGGCGTTCATTAAATACATTTTGTTTTGTAAATTTCTCAACTTGGGAGGGCTTTATGTTATGTTGTAAGAACTTGTTGCCTTACCCATCTGCTTGTGTTTTATTGTGTTCTATTTTGTGTGTGTATTTGCATGCAAATATTCAATGATATAATTATGGTTAAACTAAATAAAATTTACTATGTTCTCCTACATGAAAGTATCTAAAGACGTGTATCTATTCCACCGCTACAAATCTCATACAAGAAAATAAAGATTTGAATACGCTTTTATCAATAAAAAATTAAGAAACTAAATAAATTAAATTGTATAAGCCTTTACACCTTGATTCTTTATCATTATGTTTTGGGTAGTTTTAAGTAAAGAATTTTATAAGTGGACCTCTGCGTAGTGGGTTACTAGTAGTTCCCTTGGCGTGGCACATGTTTTCTGAAGAATTGTCAGAAAACGGCATCGTCCTGGTTCACCATTCCCTTTGTATTGAACAAATAAGTAAGGTTTAAAAAGCATTATCAGTTGGGCCAAATACAGTTCATGCAGAAAAATGCGTTTGAAACAAAGTAATCGATAGCCCATTTATTTTCACCTTTAAATGGGTGAAAAAAGTAAAATAACATTGAGTTGATGGGAAAACGTCTTTAAAATTATCATTCTAATTTCATTTTAAACTTACATGCATACCAATGTTCTATTACATTTATCATTAGATTTTAGTTACCAATGTGCCGTCTTTTTATATTTGTGATATGCCGGCACTTTGTTCACATACATGCAGTAACATTAAATTTTGTACACCTTTTAGGTGCATGTATACCCCTGTAGTAACACCTGTGACCTTAGTTAGATTGGTACCCCCAATATTATTTTACTTTCTTATCGGTATTTAGCTTTTTAAGGTAGATAACGCACGTGCTTTTGGTGGGTAATTAGCGGGAGAAATCACTTTCAAGGTTAGCTACTATAAGGAAAGGTTATTATTGCTCAGTAAATTTTTTCCAAATTTAAGTATAGGTCCTTTTTGTTTTAGTTTTTGGACGTTTTCATTTATACTGAGTGAGTCCTACGTTTAGTTTGGAGGCGTAAAAATGTATTATGATTATAAGTCAGTGGTTTAAATGTTTTGTTTTGGAGTTGTAAACCTATGTACATTATAATTAGTAAGGTTGATAACACGTTTTTCAGAAGGTCATGGGTGAAAGGTACACTCAACTGCTGCAGCCTTGGCTACCGTCTACTTCCCCGTCCTCCTCAAATTAAAAAAAATGAAGAAATTGGTGATTAAAAAGATAAATATTCAGGTTTGGGTCGGAGCAGCCGGCTCGCAGTGTTCTGGCTTTCTGGTGTTTTTGTTTATGTGATAAATCTGATGGAATATATAACTTTAAGGGATGGCGATAAATATGGAACTTCAAGACATTATTCAGAGAACTTGTTTATTAAATTATTTATTTAATAGACTATTATAGTGATTTATATTACCAGCTGTTAACTGCCGAACTCTTTTCAATGGGTTTGTTCTTATATGTTAAAGGAAATAAATCGAAATGGTAGCCAGCCCATGCTATATGTACACTTTATTGGCTGTTGTTGTTTATTTAGAAGGTATATTTAGAAAAGAAATATTCTATTTTCGGACGAACGATGTGAGAGAGAAAATAAAATATATTATATTGTATTGCATTGTATCGTATCGTATCGTATCGTATCGCATCGCATCTCATCACATCATATCACATCACATTACATTATCATATCATATCATACTATACATGTATCAGTACCAAGATTGTCCAATGAAAATCGACGTAAAACGCGTACAGTAGTTCAAACTGTTTGACGGTAGATCATAAATATTTAAGTTCATCTAGTTATCAAGAAGACCACAATGAAAATACGATTCGTTTTGTGATCACAGATAACTAATAGAATATCCATTTCAATTTTACTTATTTTACAGATCAATATGAAGGTTTTTGTATATCTGGTCGTGTTGACTTTGATGGCAACTTCCGGTGCGGATGATACAGAATCATCGTTTCAGACGATGGTCCTGTCTGAAATATCAGCATTGAAAAGTAAAGTTACAGAGCTGGAACATGAACTGAAGGCAAAGGAACGTGAAAATCTTATTCTAAATAAGCATCTTCAACACTCTAAAAGGTATATCTAAAAGTGGTTCACAATGGTTCAATATCTAAACAATATATTGGATTTTAGCTAATGTAGCGATAATATTTCATTTTCTTCAGGAAAAAGAGTCACCGACTGTGGTTACTCTTAAATTACTGAAATCTTCTAGACCAAGCGCGTAGGCTACAGTAAAAGTAATTAAAGGATGATTTTTGTTTTGTTAAATACTATTAACAACCATTTCATTATTATCTGATACAGTAGCTGTCGCTGCTTTTCAGCTGTTCAAATCGTTTAACTTATTCTTATTATCGTGTAAGTATTACTTAGCCAGTCCAATACTGTTAAAATTGACTTCTTAAGTAAGTAATACCAAACATTTCTCAGAAAGTAGTTTGTGACATTCATCTTAGCACTTCTCCTTCAAATTATCGTTCTATTAACTGCATAAAAATGTTTGCGTAATACAAAAGTTGTCAATACATGTACTATAAACTGCATAAATATTTGTAACGAATTTTCTCCTTATTCAGACTCTATAAATGTTTTAATTCGATTTAAATTACTCGGTTTTTTCGTGATTTCAGAGAAAGCTCTTTCTTCCCAGAAAATGAAGTCGCGTTTACGGCTCGGGTTTCACAGCATTTGACGAGTTTGACAGCGCATCAACCAATTGTCTTTGGCAGTGTATTGACTAACGTTGGAAACTACTACAACAGTACGACGGGCGTGTTCTACGTGCCAATTGACGGAACGTACCAGTTTTTCGTTAACATTCTCTCCGAGGCCGACAATTTTATTGAAACAGAGTTAGTCGTTAATGGCACTGGGGTTGCAGAAATCTACTCAGGCGCTGGAAAATACAATGGTGCCGGAAGCAACCTCGTTATCGTGCGCCTTCACCGTGGTGACAAAGTGTGGGTCAAAGTTCACTATGGCTTTAGCTCTGATATGTCTGTTCACTGCTGCTGGTCCACATTTTCTGGAGTGCTGTTGAGAGTAGTTGCAGATCTTAATCAAATTGTTGGTTGAAATCAATTTGTTATGAAAATTATCCCTAATAAAAGAAATAAAACTTAGACGGATACCATATCGAAAAGTGATAGAATGTTGGCATGTAAAAGTGTATGTCGCAGAGGTTCATTTTTACCCCCAATTAATCCTAGCAGCGAATGAATTGTAAGTAACCCAGCCTGGCTTGGATCAGTTTAAGGTGACAATGATTACTTTCCCTAATGTTCTTTTTTTATTCTTAATTCTATGCTTATGTCTGCCTTTATCCACATGACATAATGAACCATTATAAGATTGGAATATGAAAAATATGGAACGCTTCACGAATTTCCACGTCATCCTTGAGCAGGCGCCATGCTAATCTTCCGTGTATTGTTCGAATTTTAGTATAGGAACTGTAGAAGCAATTTCTGTACCATACCAACCTGGCATTGATTGTAATGATTTGTGATGTTGGTCACAATAGAAAATTGTCTAAATAAAGGTCAATCTTTTTGGTTCAGCTTTTACCCGAAAGATTGCAATTGGACGTGTCGACCTTTTCGCTGACAAAGCTTTAATTATGTTATACACTATGGTGGCTGATTCACGCCATGTGGTTATTTGAAAGATAATCAAACGACAGAAGACAAGAGATAATTAAAGTAAGACTCTGTAAGATACTAAAGTGAATAATTGTATCCCTATCAACATTCACTATGAGAAGAAAAATAAACAGAATGTTTGTTTCCAATGACCTTATTTTTACATTATACTTGGTAAAACGGCTTCCCATTATAGTTTCTAGAGATGTATGCAATCGGGAATGTGGGGGTGGGAGAGAGATCTGTATATTTCTTTCTTTTTTAAAAATTTAATAACATAATACATACAAAACGTACGTGTAATTATTAAACAAAAGTGTGTTCATTATTCCAAGGTAAATATTTCAGGGATGTATACTTACTCTGAACACGTTGATGTCACATCATGATGCATGTTTTAAACTAGACACCCTGATTCGATTTTTTTTATTCAGTTCATGTGTCACTGTGATTACTATTTAGTCTATAGTTGACAATTCTGCTTATTTGCTGTAAAAATCAAGGGCCCTTGACATTTTTTTATTAGTTCTTCATTTTAGTTTTCTCAACTTATTTTACCCCTTATTATTAGTAGTAGTGTTGATGAAACTATTAAAACGTGGTTTATTTCAAATTATTTAGAAAACAATCGTAATCAAACAAACTATCACAATAATGTGACTACTAATCTTATAAATCTGACATTTTCTTAAATAAAAAGTTAGCTTTATAAACACATCAACATCAGAATGCTTCTTTGGGTTGTAATTATCGAATTCGGACATGACACGCCGGCAAAGCATATCTTACATGTTGCTTTGTTTAATTCTTTACCCTCGCGAAACCGAAGCCTTCCAAGTTGTGTAGGAGGATTTTTAGATTCATTTTTTTCTACATTGACGTTTGAATCCAATATGATTTGCTTTGAGAAAAAAAATATATTACGCGCTTACTGATAGGATGACCGAGTTAAATTAACCAATCTTATTTCGCGTAATAAAGCGGTTTACTATAGTTAGAGAGGGACTAAAAGTCGCATTGCTCCTGTGTTAATTTTGGCTATGAATCGAATCGAAATTGTTATATTTGATATCGGAATCGAATCGGGGCCGAATAAGCCGGTTTTCAATGCATGTGAACGTATCGGTGCACCTCTAGATTTGACCTTCAAATCTGCGGTACACGATTAAGTCATAGTGCACCTGTGACAGGCCTAACTCGGTATTGGTGATAAAGGCTAAAAGGTTACCGGTTCAACTTAAATGTCTCATCTATTATTACGTAGGCTTTGATGCAAACTCTTTCCAATATCTTTAAACCGCTGGCACTAGCCCTTAGGCAGCACACCACACTAAATGATGCCACAGCTTTGAATGGCCATAGAGGATTTCATGGATATAGTGACTACTGTGGATTTAAATGACTGGTTGTCTTTAAAATGTATTTTCAGCATGAAATTTGTTTTTGTGACATGTAATATGATCATTGGCAAATTCGAAAACATGGTTAGAAATCAAATGTTCATAATTGTAGATGTCAAGGCCGCCATTGTTTGTAAACATTGCTTTGAAACAGCATGCTCGGTGAAAACAAGTAATTTTACAGGGGTGGGGGGGGGGTACAAACTTTCAGCAATAGCAAAAAATCTACAAGGCCAAGCACCTATTTCTTTGTGATATTTTGTATGTATAGGGAGTTGCTAAAGCAGTGACAGAGTTTCTGTAGCCCGTATATGTGCAGGTATTTTTTGCCGGAGGGACGAAATATGTTGTTTTGGGTGTCAGACCACTATAAAATTTTCGCGTTTGCGGAATGAATTGGAATTTTTTTAACTGCCTGACTGTCGCACATTTGATGATTTCATTACAGATTTGCAATGTTATGACATATATGTTCTGAACAAAATGTGTTTTCTTTTTCCAGGTTGTGTAGTTTGGGATCAGATATATCAGACATATTGCTGGCAGAAACTTGAAATCTAGTGTTGAGTGCTACCTTACCATATAACACAAACTGCCCGAAATATTTCAACAATTACTTTTCACACACGTCCCATATAAGACAAGTACATGTATATATGATAGTGTATACACGGGGAAGTGTCTGAAATGATAATTCATTGGCTGATTTTATCCTGTTATAGTACGAGCGACACTAAGCAAAGTTCTATGCGATTGAAGAGGATAACATATATAAATTTCATTGTGAACAATGATTAATTTCTAGAAACTAGGATGTGTGTTAAAATGTTATATTTTCTGTTAAAGTTACCTACTTATGTACGAAATATTAAATTTTCAGAGAACTTAACATCCAAGAAATATTCCCGCGGCAGTTTCTATTTCAACTATTTTTCTATTCGTCTTTTATCAACGAAAATAAAACGTTTTTTTTTTTCTTTAACAATTAGGTATTTCTACACTATATTTCCCGAGTCAACACTTATTCGAAAAAAATAGAATAGGTCTTGAAAATTATTTTTGAAATGTTGTGAAACATAGACGTTTTCTGTTCCAGCTCAAGAGTTCACATGATAAAAATATAATATGGTCATAGAAAATTTCGAACTGAAATAAAAAAAGCCGAAGAGGCAGGCGATCAAAGATATTTAACTCTTACGGAATAAAGATGGTAAAGGAATAGTGATATCCCTTCTTTCAGAAGATGATTATATTTCCTTTAATATGCATGTAGTTCAACAAGAGTGTAGATAAGAACATACTTGTTACATGTAATTAACTGCTGATAAAAAGATAAGCTTGAGCACAGGAAAATAGACAAACGTGAGTTCTGTACCGTAAAGTATAAAATATTTTGCTCTTTTGATAGTATTATGGTTGCGGTGGTTGAAGTGGTGCTGTTTTGTTTCTGTTTCTGCTGTCTCTGTTTTCCCTGTTTATCCCCATAATTTTTCTTTGTTGTTTTCAAGTTTTTTTTATTGCTTATGTCGGAATAATTGTTGTTATTCGTTAAGATTGGTTCTGCTTTTTCTTTTCTTTCCTTCATGTTTTTGTTTTTGTTGTTGTTTTTTTGGGTTTTTTGTAGACGTGTCCTGGCTGTGATCTAGAGATAACTATATAATGTAAAAACACAGAGATAGAGAACTAGGCCTTACTAGGGTTACAAGTGAAACTAGGACATATAAATATATCTACAAGGAAACATAATGAATACTAAAGGGATTCAATGTAATTATTAAGGAAAGAAAATCGATAGGCCACAAATATAACTAAAAAGGCAGTTTCAGACATTTGTAACTAAATACATCTTAATTTTGCCTTTGTCATTACAACTGAAATTTTCTGAATTAAACCCTGTATATATTGTTCTTTTAAATGCGAGTGTGGGAGGCAACGGGGGCCGTGGATCGGTGATGGTGGCCGTATCAGATCTGAGTGCATCAAACATTAAATATTTAGGTAGTCATTAACATTTACTTATCGCAAAAAAATGATTGCCATAAACTACCGAAGTTATTAATTTTGTATACATGTAAACTATTCTATTTCGACATTCATTAAATACATATTTTGTTTTGTAAATTTTTAGCTGGGAAGGGCTTATTTTCAGGTTGTTAAAACGTGTAGCCAAACCCATTTGCTTTTTTATTTTTCTATTTTGTGTGTATATTTGCATGTATATAGGCAATAAAATATGGCTAAATTAAATTTAACTAACTATATTCCTGTATATAAATGTATCTAAAGACGTGCATCTATGCCACCGCTACAAATCTCATACAAGAAAATAAAGAATTGAATATTCTTTTATCCATAAAAAATTAAGAAACTAAATGAATTAAATTGTATAAGCCATTACACCTTGATTCCGTATCATGATCTTTTGGGTAGTTTTAAGTAAAGAATTTTATAAGTGGACCTCTGCGTTGTAGGCAGATGTTTTCTGAAGAATTGTCAGAAAACAATCGCTCTGGTTCACCATTTCCATGGTATTGAAAAAAAAAAACAAGTAAGGTTTATAAAAATAAAACATCATCAGTTGGGCCAAATACAGTTCATGCAGAAAAAATGCGTTTGAAATAAAGTAATCGATAGCCCATTTATTTTCACCTTTTAAGGGTATTAAGCTATATCTGAAATATTTATATAAAATCTATCAACAGTAAAATTATATTGGTTTCATTATTATATGTTTGATTCCCGAAAAAGGTTTCTGTTATTAATTACACATGAGTTATGTATGTAAACAGAACAAATATTATTTTGCTATGTTAAGTAGGGTGCTTTCCGTTTAGCAATGAATGTGTGCATGCGCCACTCCCTTTATGGCATTTTATTGCCATTTTTATTTCATACAAGTATTTTGGAAGTTCTCTTTTTTTTAATCCAAACAATGAATTTTGCATCAGTTAAATAGTTTTATACACTTTAAATGGGTAAAAAAAACATAACATTGAGCTGATTCTTTAAAATTCTTTAAAATTGGCATTCTAAAGTCGTTTTAAAGTACTTACATGCATACCAAAGTTTGTTACATTTATCATTTGATTTAAGTTACAAATGTGCCGTCTTTTTATTTGTGATAAGCAATTTGTTCACATACATGCACACCTTTTTACGTACATGTATAGCCTTGTAGTAACAAATGTGCCCTTAGTTAGATTGGTAACCCCTAACAAACGTTCTTTCCAGCCATACTTTAATATAATGTTGACCATACGTTTACATTATGTACACACTGGCAATAGCTTTCGCAGAAACGGTGGGTCCATCGCAGCGGCGGTGGAGTATTTGTCGCAGAAGCGGTGGTTAAAAAATGGCCGTTTGCTGTTGTCGGTAGGTTTATGACTGAATTTTGTTTTATGTTTTCATGTTTTATGGGAAACACCTACCGACTACTGGAGCCCTAATATGTACTCTTCTAACTTATTACACGCACACGATGTAATTATTTGCCATTTATGCAAACACTTCAGTAAAGTTTGACGAGGGGACACCAGTTTTGCCTAATTTTGGATAAAACAAGTACAAAAATGTGTTATATTATCATATGTAGAACACCAATTTATATAAATTTTATCTTTACAGTTACTTGAGCAGTTTCCTATCTATTACTTTTTACAAAAAAATAGGCAAAAGTGGCGTCCCGTCGTCAAACTGTACAGAAGTGTTTGCATAAACGGCAATAAGTATAACATATCGTACAATGAAATTATTGTGATCACAGATATCGAAAATTCGAAACTATATGAATATCCATTTCATTTTATCTTATTTTACAGATCAATATGAAGGTTTTTGTATATCTGGTCGTGTTGACTTTGATGGCAACTTCCGGTGCGGATGATACAGAATCATCGTTTCAGACGATGGTCCTCTCTGAAATATCAGCATTGAAAAGTAAAGTTACAGAGCTGGAACATGAACTGAAAGCAAAGGATCATGAAAATCTTATTCTAAATCAACATCTTCAACACTCTAAAAGGTATTTCTGAAAAGTGGTTCACAATGGTTCAATTTCCCAATTTGTAACGACTCTTCTCCTTATTCATACTCTATAGATGTTGTAATTCGATTTAACTTAATCAGTTTTTCATTTGTTGTGATTTCAGAGAAAGCTCTTTCTTCCCAGAAAATGAAGTCGCGTTTACGGCACGGGTTTCACAGCATATGAAGAATTTGACAGCGCATCAACCAATTGTCTTTAGAAGTGTGTTGACTAACGTTGGAAACTACTACAACAACACATCGGGCGTGTTCTACGTGCCAATTGACGGAACGTACCAGTTTTTTGTTAACATTCTTTCAGAGGCCGACAATAGTATTGAAACAGAGTTAGTCGTTAATGGCAACCAGATTGCAGAAATCTACTCCGGCGCTGGAAAATTCAATGGCGCCGGAAGCAACCTCGTTATCGTTCGCCTTCACCGTGGTGACAACGTGTGGGTCAAAGTTCATGCTGCCTACAGCACTGATATGTCGGTTCACTGCTGCTGGTCCACATTCTCTGGAGTGCTGTTGAGAGTAGTTGCAGACCTTAATCAAATTGTTGGTTGAAATTACTTTGTTACAAAAATTATCCCTAATAAAAGAAATAAAACTAAGACGGATATCATATCGAAAAGTGATAGAATGTTGGCATGTAAAAGTGTATGTCGTAGAGGTTCATTTTTACCCCCGCTTAATCCTAGCCGCGAAAATGAATGGTTAAAAAGCTAGCCTGCCTTGGATCAGTTCAACCTAGTCCAAAACATTTTCATGCAGACTGAACTTAGTTCACAATGTGACTATGATTACATTCCCTAGTGTTCTTTTTTCCATATTCTATGCTATTGTCTGCCTTTGTCCAAATGCCATAATGAACAATTATAAGATTTGAATAAGAACCATATGGAACGCTTCACGCATTTCCGTTTGGTTTAAATATATTTATTTAAGCTCGATTGCTAACAAGTTCTTGCAACTTATATTAATCACTTTCGGGTCCGCTTCCTGGAATCAACCAGTACTGGTGTCATATGAAGAAACATGGTCGTAACCCGAGTAGGGCTCGAACCCATGATCTTTGGGTTGAGAGGCAGACACCTTAGCCACAAGGCCACTGCTCCCCTTGTTTTCGTTTCATCCTTGCGCAGGTGCTATGCTAATTTCTCTTTATCATTCCAATTTTAGTATATGTACTGTCGAAGCAATTTCGGTACAATGTCAGCCGGACATTGATTGTGATGATTTGACTATTTTCAGAGACAAAAAACACTAAATCAGCCATTATCAGGCCTGGATTATATATATTATTATGTTAATATTTTCTGATGAACATAATACACACAATAGTATCATAGAACTGTATTGTTAAAACCAGTGAAGACACGTATTGATTCTTCTTCTTATTGTTTTTCTTCTGTTTCTTCTTCTTTTTATTCTTCTTATTTTCTTCTACAATAAAGGCTATACGTACACGTATGAAACGTTAGGGCCATGCGCACGCGCCTGTGTTTGTTTTTCCGGGCGGGGAGTAAAAAGAAAAGTGTGATAGGCTACCCAAGCTTCTCACTTCACTCAGGTTAAAACCTGTCAACAGTGAAAAAAGTGCAAAAACCTAACACCTTTTAATTAATTTAAAAAGCCCTTAAGACAGACAAAACTGTTGTGAAGAAGGTAAGAATGTCAGTCAGGTTAAAACAGGATAAAAACAGTATCTATGATTTGATGTAGCAGTTTTTTTTATTTCATTCTACTTAAATTTTTTTCTTATATTTTCCTTTATGCGTTATTCACATCAATAATATATATAGACATGCGATTTTCTCGCTCGAAGTAGGCCTTATTTGAGACCGGAGGCCGGAAACCGTCGATTAGTAACTGTCGTTTTAGTACGGTGCAAGTATTTATCACATCTTTAGAAACCCTACGTCATTTCCGCTCGACCTTCAAAATGGCAACTTGCAGGGGTGCCGGACAATTGGTACACGCTTTTATCATGTTTTATCGAATAAACTAAGTTATGGCCACCTGTTTACACATGTATTGTTTCACTTTTTACTATAGGTAGTATACCAAATAAAGACTTATGATGTTACTGTAGAAATCTAGAAGAAAATTGACAGATTTATTGGTGAATCCAAGGACAAAACTTGGGTTAGAAGTTATTTTTTAAAGTCTGATGTCTTGGCCTCTTTATTTTCATAAAATCTGTAAGCACCAAATTTGCTGGTAAACCACCATGTCAAATTTTACAGGTTGAATGCTCTTTACCAGTATGTGCTCATTATACTTGGAGGATATCAACATTTTTAAAAAAAATATTTGCTCCCCGCTTCCTGAAATAGTAAAAATTCATTTTGAATGTTTCTGTTTAAAATTCCGAGAATTTCAACCCATGGGCATATGCTGTCCGTTTTTTATATTTATGTTAAATATGAAATTAGGCACACAGGTCCAGTGCCCATACAACCCCCCCCCCCCCACCCCCAAAAAAAATAATTAAACAGCGGGGGAAAAGCCCCAATAATTTCTTTGATAATTTTTTTCATATATACTTATACCACGAAAAGGTCATCTAGTCGCTGTAACGCTCACAGGTCTTTGTCCTGTCTTGGTGCCCATATAAAAAAAATTGAAATTAAAAAAAAACCATTTATTCTGGGTTGAGTGAAAGAAAAAAAAAATTGAAATCTTTTTTTTCCCTATATACCATTACTACGAAAAGGTCACCTAGTTGCCGTAACGCTATGGAGCTTTACTAGGACACGCTGTGGAACAACCACAATGTCGAGTTCTGTAACAATACAAGCTATTTTGCTACTCTTTACACATCATGCATTTAGAAAATTGTTAACATTCTTCTTCTACCTTATATATCAACTTACATTTAAACTCGGACACTCCAACTTGTTTAAATTTGCAAAATAACTGTGTTGATTGGCCATTTTGACAAAAACGAAAGTACAAAAGCTAAATTGTACTGTTCCGCTCTTCTGGTTTCCTAAGATTACGTTCGCAGAACAGTAGACAACGGCAGAGCTCCAGATAGCGTGCGTATAAGCGTAAAATACGCATAGAAAATCTAAAATACGCATCACTTTCAAAATTCGTGCGTCACAGTAACGCACAACAAAATGAAAATACGCTCGTATGTCAAAATTTATGCGTAAAAGAATAGAAGTGTAAACATTTGATATGTAGAAAGAAAATGTTTTGAGCATAAAATACAATATATTTCCATTTTATTGCATTGAAAACTAAAAATTCTGTTGTCAACAACGTATGTTAAAAACGAAAGTAGCAGGAAATACAGAAGGGAGGTAACTCCCGTAGATCTATCAACCTGTGAAATTATTGATGAAATTTGTGCCAGATAATCATCGTAGGAGTTAACACAGTATTAAGTTAGTTTAGGCATCTATTGACATACTCTATATAACCAAAAATATATTTTAATTTCTTTAACTTTAGTTGTTGGAACAAAATAACATGTTATTCACCTGCAGTTTTGTACTCAATATTTTCGTACCCAGTCTACAGTTACGGACAATTTTCTCTCAGACAAATAATTTTTTTTAAGGAAAGATAAAAAAAATCTTGTTTATGTTTGTAATTGTAAAGGTTTTTCTAAAAAAAGAAAATAAACAAACAAACACAACAATAAGTTTAATTTGTTTATAAAAAATGCAAAATGCTTTTTTGACAGATTTTTACCCTTAAGTTTTTCAGAATTTGCATTTTACCCCTCACTCTAAATTTTGAGGGGTAAAAACCCCTTGGCCAAAAAAATTATCTGGAGCTCTGCAACGGTAACCATCAATTAAATGGCCAATAATCACTGTTGTTTTGCAAGATTTTAACAAGTTGGAGTGTCTGAGTTTAAATGTTAACAGGCTTCGCGAAAGTTGCCGGACCGTCGGACATGTCCGACAAAAATCAGGCCGGTCCGATATTTTTTTCCGAGTTCCGGACCTTGTGTCCGGTACGAATACCGGGATATATCCAAGACCGATCAAGACCGAGTTTTCTCCCTTGAATAAAAAAAATGTAAAACGAGTTTTGATTCGCCGTTTCATTTTTAGTGTCCAATCAAATTCTAGATACATACAACTTTCGATGATCTTGTACTCGGAAGAAAATGTCAGTGTTACTGCATTATTAAATTATTACGTTGGCGCTACGCCAGGCAAAAAACGTAAATTATCTAAAGAAGGAAAAAAGCGAAACAAAAGAAATACGAGTCCAGGTGCCTGCCGAGAAAATTTGTGGGTAAATGGAAAAATGGCCGCTCGTGGTTGGTTTTTAACGAGGAAGAAAATAAAATGAAATGTACATTGTGTCATAAATTTTATAAAGATCATATGGTGATGATGATTTTGATCATGAATGTTTAAATTTCCAGACAGAGTCCATCAATCTGGATAAACTGATGTTTTATTTAAGAGAATAAAATTGTGTTGCAAATCTTTAAAAGTTCCTATGTCTTTAAAAAAACACAAAGGTATTACCATATACATATATTTGGAAAAAAAATTCGGTCAGACAAAAGTTCTTTCGGTCAGACAAGATTTGAAAGCTTGTCTGACCGAATGTCAGGCAAATGTTTCAGCAGTTTTGCGAAGCCTGTGTTAATTAAGATTGTATGTAAGGTAGAAGAAAAATGTTAACAATTTTCTTAATGTAAACTATGACGTGTAAAGAGTAGATAAATAGCTTTGATTTTGACTTCCCTCGAATATGATTGTTCTTTTAATCTGTGTCATTCAAATGCACAAACGATTAAATGTTAGTCACATGGTGACCGTGAGTAAAATGTTCAGCCTGACCAGGACTCAATTCCACTCGGAATACCTAACTGTGTTAGGGATGCTTTTGGCTTGTTTTATAGGCTATATTCTGTCATATTCCCATTTGAAAATAGTATAATACTTTCCCAATCCACAGGAAAATAATTTCCCAATTGATAGTTACAAAATAAAAATATTGAATGAAAACTCTAAAATCTTTGAAAATAAGGGCTTCTTCACTGTTATAGTGCTTAAATGATTGAAGATGCCATCGTAGACAGTTATTGTTTATAATCATTTAATCCTTGCAAATTTTCAGTCGTGCATATTTTCCCAATTTTTAACAAAATATGGCTGAAATTCTCAATGCCATGCCAGGTATGGGTCATGTTCCCAAAATCCTGGGGGAAAAACCTGTGTGTCTCTGGACTAAGCTATCTGGACACTTACAAATATAACTTATAAATACTGTGACATACTCCCCTTCATATTGAAGTTTGTGCTTGACTTTTTTGTCAAATTGAAAGAAATACATGCAATGTTAAAATCAAATGGCTATTTTATCATGTCTAAACAAACAATGTATATTATATATCATGTGACAATGCATGTGTCTGCAAGCAAAATCAAACAGTCATAAAAAAAATCTTAAACTTGGGTTAATTGCATTTTAAATCAATTCATTAATATTAAATGATTCCTTTAAATGAATATTTTGGTAAATCATAAATGTTTGTCATATGAAATAAAATGGCATCTTTTTTTTTTGTTATTTTTTTTTTTAAGATCTATCAGAAAACAGTAATAATAACTGTTTAGTTATCCAAACACAAAACTAATTAAGAATATAAATTGAACCAATCAACCATGTTTATAAAAATAATTTTAAATACATGTATAGAGATAGCAGATCTATGAAAGGAAACAAATCAATATGAATTATAAAAGAAAAACAATATTATCTAGTTGTTACTAAACTTTAAATAATTAGGCTAGAAAATTATTTCCTAGGCCATTATCATTACTTATAAATGACATAATATGTAAAGGAAAGTCAGATACTGTGCATTTTGATTTATTTTTTATTTTGATTAAATAATATACATATCAGTGAATCTTTTTTATTATATTTTTAGGTCCGTCAGTTTTCAACATCAGCTGTCAGGAACAAGTTAGCCGATGTAAGTAAGATGGGTAATAATGCAAGTTGAACTTTCTAAAGAGTCTTTGTAGAAAAGTAGCTGACTGCCAGCAACTTTCAGTACATTTTACCAACTATTTTGTGATTAAAACAATATAATTTCCAGCTTATCCCATTATGTTCCAGCAAAATGCGGAATGATTTAAGAAATAGCACACAGAAATTTGGACCTCAAAACACATTAAAATGACGTCCAGTCTGCGCTGAACATTGAACAGACCTTGCCCCTTTGACTTTGGTTTGTTAATAAATGCAGGCTTACTGATCAGTGACTATAATGCTATGAGGCCCTTAGTGATGTGTACAATTTCTGGAAAAAAAATGTGTGAGACAAAATTGCACGAGCGTGGCTGCCACTGATAGATTGAAGAAAAGAGTACTCATTTTTCCAGAATCTACTTTATACTTTACATCATACAGACAAGTATAGAAATGTCTCGTGTAAAACGGACAAAATCAAAATACAATTTTGCCAGCCCTGTCAGTGTCGCAGGAGAGTAACACTTTAACACTTTAAAACTTTGAAAATATTATAACATCTAGAATATGATAGTCTAGTGTTGAATCCACTTTAAATTTTGTTTTTTCTCCAGATGCCTTTGAAGTTGTATGGTATTGAGGGAAGATATGCCTCAGCCCTCTTTTCAGCAGCTACCAAACAGAACAAACTAGATGTTGTTGATAAGGAAATCAATTCATTTAAGGTAAGTTTTTAGTTGTTCCTAATTGTTTTTTTTTCTTCTCCTTTAATGCTGAATTACAAAAAAATGTCTGTGTTCTTTCTCCAACACAGTTTTTAGGCTGAAATAGAGCCACATTCACAATTGTCAAAATTGTAGTTATTGTTAAAATTGATTTAATTTTTTTTCCCTATTTAATTGCTAAAGTTTAGTTACTTATGAAATAAGATTTTACAAGTATTGGCAAATATTGGCTGTTAAAAAAAACAACACGCTGTAATTATAAATATACAGTCTAACTTGCCCATGCGACCACGTGTATTAAGCAACTTTTGTCTTATGCGGCCACTTTCAATTCCCCCGTTCATTTTCTCTCTATATCTTTAATGTATTAAGTGACATTTGCTCAACGCGACCAATGACCACTAATAAGTCAGCTAATTGAGATTAAACGACCACTTTTACCTGTCAAGTAATTGTGTTTTTAGAGAACGCCACCTCGTAATGTCACAAGTGTCAATAATCAAAACACAATACATAAATATGTGAAAAACTCTATTTGCCAAACCTTTTTAGCGTATGCAAATAAAGGTAAATATACGTGTGTCGTGTATTATCCAATAATATCGGTAAAACAATGCAATGCTCCGCCCCTACTGAGATGGTGTATACGCTTAGATGTTGATATTTAGACTGCATTGCATTGACCTTGAACTTGATCAGCAATTAAATTAATCGTTACAATCAGATGTAGTTTGTTTATTTCAAATGAAAAATGCAAAACAGAAAAAAGCTTCACTTATCAGGGTTTTCGTGTTGGAGACAAGGAAAAACAATGGAGAAGTTTAAAAATTCTGGAAAAATGTCAAACATGTATGTAATTGATCAAAACTGATTTGTCAATAAATATCAGAAAGTTATTTTTTTACATTAGATCTAGCATCCATTTAGATTATCGGAGCATTCTAATTATTAAACATTTATATTTATGGAGTTGAAAAACATTCCCACTGCAAAAGAAAGATGTCATGTATATATTTTGACTTTTTATCATGCTTTGTCTTGAGAGACTGTTTCATTAAGCGACCGTTTTGGGTGTTTCCCACGCATGGTCGCTTAATACAAGTTTGACTGTATATGTTTTGTAAGATTTAATATGGTTTTGAACTTTAAGGTCTGTCTCTAACATGTATTCATTGTGAATATACTCAGTTGAAACATAAGAGCAGGAAGTTACTGGCCTAGATCTTGAACACTAGAATGGATTTTTGTTTGAAATAATTCTTTGTGATCTTAAAATAGTCCCAATATGACTTTTTTATACAATGATAAAGTAGGGGGCAATGTGACAGCACTTGTATAGTATATTTTAAACATTCTGATGAACAATGTTTTGTTATATGTATAATATAAACATAGCATCTTTCCTGATTTAATTACAGGCACTGATGGCCAAAGAAAATGCTGTGAGGGAATTTATCTATGATCCATCCCAGCAGAGACAGACAAAGATGGGTATAAGGAATTTTAATATGTCAAGTTTTTTTTTATACATTTAATATTTTGCTAGTATAGTTCTTCAAATAAGTTAATTAGTTTATGTTTTCCAGGATAAAAATATATGATTGAAGCTATAAAAAATTACATGTATTACTGGCATAAAAGGGTTAAGATATCTTGACAGCTTTTAAGCTTCCTGCAAAAGTGAAGGTTTTTGGTCAATGAGACCAGGTGACTGAGACTTAATGTAGATTTGTCTTCATACAATGAGAATGTTTATGGCCATTGGGTATATTATAAAGCTATATCTTATAATAAAATTATTTAAAAACTTTATTTACAGTGAAATTATATTGTTTCCATAACCTTATTGCCAATCATTGAAAAAGTTGTAACATTGAATATCTCTGTTATTTAACAAACATGAAAACTAGAGTAAAAGAGCATTTTTGAAAAAGCAGTAAAATAAATGAGCTTTTTTATGCCCTTACTTCTTGGGGCTTATATGAGGGTATATAGTGTATATTTGTCCTTGTACTGGTGCACTGTCAGTAAGCTGTCAAAATAGTGGAAAGTGGCTTTTTGATGTCATACTTACACATTTTACAGGTATAGATATAAAGGTTTTTATCCGAAAAAAGTACAGCTTTAATTATAGATGATTTTCTATATGAATTTAGCATGGATATACTTGTGTTACTTTCAGCGGCTATGATCAAGCTTGCCCAGTCCCAGAAGTACAGCGATATTACAAGTAACTTCTTGGGTGAGTTTGTTGCTTCTTATTTATTCATTGAATGGAATTAGTTGATAAGTAACTTAAAACATACTTAGTTGCTCTTATTCAAGTGTTCAAACTTGTTTAACTAACAAGAACAAATGTTTATGTGAGGAAACGTTTAAGTGCAATCCCTTCCTATGGACCCATTTTTCTGGAAAATATTTCCAGTTTTGGATATTGGAAACAGCCTGTATTTGATGATGAATCGCTTTAAAAAAGCACTTGTGACGCAGGTAATGAATTCTATTTCAGCTGTGATTATTCATTAGCAGAAAGTATTCGTTAGCAGAAAGAAATTTGGTAAATGTAAGGAAGACTGGAAGAAATTTTTGTGATATAATTACAGAAAAAATTTACATGCAGGATTCTATTTTCACATGTAAACATCTGTTTTCCAATAATTTAGTTTGTTTTTCAAGCATGGGGGTGAAAATCACCGTCAAAACAATATACTTGTTTACAGTTTATATAATATGCATAAAATTAAAATTTGAAGTTCCTATGAGAAAACAGTGAATTAACAGTTGTTATGTTTCACTTGACACAGATTTAAACACCCCTTTTATCCAACCTGTTAACATGTAGCAAGTAGGGCAGCTTGATGCAGGTAGAACAGTCACTTACATGTTAATGTCAGTTTAAACAGGATTGCCAAGATATATTCTTCTTTTGTGTCTTTTTATAGTAATACATTGTGCAGCAATCAATTGCAGGATAAAAAAAAATGACCAAGCGCACAACCAGTTAATTGGTGTGTTAATACTTTACGTCAATAAATGCAAAATAAAACATTGCAACAGATTAAGATAACAGCAGGATAAACATTGCACATACTTTACTGAAATGTTTTGTTTCATTGGACAAGACCTGTATTAGTATAAATGTACGAGCCTGTGGTGAAATTAATCTTTTGATGACATTTTATTTCAAAAACACCCAAACTACAATGTGTGGGAAAGTAGCTTAACGCCTCTGGTGATGAGAATATAATTGAGCCATTCCATGCCATGACAAAACCAACATAGTGCTGTTGGGACCAGCATGGATCCAGACCAGCTTGAGCATCCGCCCAGTCTGATCAGGATCCATGATGTTCGCTGTCAGTTTCTCTACTTGTAATAGAGTTTGTTAGCAGACTGGTCTGGATCCATGCTGGTCGCAAATGCACTTTGTTGGTTTTGTCATGGCGCGGCTCATATGACATAATTATTTCAAATGAACATTGAGCATTATTTCGTAGGAGGTCGTTTGACAACATTTGAAAGTAATTATTAGAACCTGGGACATGATATAATGGGACAAGCAACTGGTATAACACTTTGTCCAACCAGGAACACTTGCTGCCATTTTGTCTTATTAATGTTTATAAATGATTTTTTTGGCCGGAGTTAACAGTGTAAATAATAACAATATTAGCTAACTAACATAAGGTTGCTTATCTCATATTTGGTTGCTTGACGTATTATAAATATAATGTCCCATTTAGAACTCAATTGCCAGCATGACTTTAATACAACAAAAATACCATATACAATTTCTATAATAACTGCCTGGTTTTGCTCCTGGAAAATATCTTGTGAAATGCTGAAGTGGTCAATAATGGAATTGATTTTGCCGTAACATGGATAATTATTCTATCAAACAATAATCTTTAATACAGATTTGAAAAAATAATAGTTCAGATTTCAGGTCTGTCAGTGTGTCAGTCCACTATTAGTTCTGTTTATTTTCTACATAAAATTAAAATTTGTATGCAGATTAATTATAAAAATATAAAGTTCAAGTAAGATCAAGCATTTTATTACAGAGTTAAGCCCCTTTGCCTTAGAAAATTTCCAATAATTTGAAGTTTCAGTTCATTTTCTATGCAATAATTCTTGAGAGATTTTATTACGGATGCAATAGAACCTTTAAATTGCTCAATTATCACAACTTATGGGAAGATGTAACATAACCAATGTAAAATTCTGTTACGACACATATTTAGATATAAGATTTGCTAAACACATGATACCATGCCTGTTATGCACATCCAACATATTATCTTAAGTTCAAAAGGTAAAATTCATTTTCATGTACACTGCTTATAATATATACTGCCTGACGAGAGGGGGGATAAGTGTTTCACAAACATTTCTTGTTAATCTTTGATATGCAATGGGCTTCATCCGCTCAATCAATGACAGCTCTATGAAGTTGTTTATAAAAAAGACTTTTTGATTAACAGGTGTTATGGCTGAAAATGGTCGCCTTCCAAAGACAAAAGGTATAATCTCGGCTTTTCATATGCTGATGAGGGCGCATAGAGGGGAAATTGTGTGTTCTGTAACCACAGCCAAGGTACTGTAAAATTTTTTATTCTTACATGATTTGTGTTGCAGTAGTTCAAAGCAAGCACGGACACTTTAGTGATCAGGGCAGCATTGTCAGTCTTCACAAAGTCCTAAAATTGTTCCCTATAAAAAACATGGCGGCCTTTTAAGAGTACCTGCCTATTAAGTTATATGGGAAAGATTTCTGCAGTAGGATCATTTGAAATGTGTTTTTTTATACATTTATCAGCATGAAAATTAACAGAAAATGCCTGATCTTAAAATTGTTGTGAATATTTTAAAATTCTTTATCTCTGGGTAAAAATATAATTTCTTATACTTATTATATTGTCTATAATAATTGTTGAACTCACATTTGTTTTTATTGAAATCCATATTTCAGAGATTTATCTTAAATATATCCAGTGTAAAAACAGTTTGGAAGTCAAAATTATTTTTTTTCTACCTACCTACCCACCTACCCCTAACTGGCATGGGTTGTTGGGGGGGGGGGTTTAAGGCTGGCCTAATGTGGCCCTATGTTAGATATTTCGAAGGCGGACATTTCCCTTGCTTGGTATGATAGGGCCTATTCCTGCATCAAAATTGTAACCTATACTTTGAAATGAAATAAACATGTAATATTGTTATTTTTTAGCCTTTGTCTGCATCAGATGAAAAGGAACTGAGAGCAGCCATGGAAGGTTTTGCCAAGAAAGGACAGAAACTTGAAATTGAAATGTTGGTAAGTATATTTGATTTTAGGCTCGACTATTTGAAGAATAAGGAGAGCTTTTGTACTCGCCATGGTGTTGGTGTCACACTTTGGTTAAGTTTTTGTGTGAAAGTTAGTATATTCAACACTACTAAAGGGATGAGGTTGAAACTTCACACATTTATTTGGCAGCATAATAAGAAGTCAGTAGGGGTGTGGATCGTCGGATAAGTGACGATCCAATCCGAACCACGATTCAGCACTTACGATTCACAAATCGAACCACAAATCTTTTGTTATCAAGACACCCATGTATTTCAGAAAACATGTACATTAGTTATAAAAACATGTTTAATAAAATAAAAAAAACAATAATAAATATTAAACATATAAAATATAAAATAGAATTATGTTTTTATTCCTTGGATGAATATTTTTGTTTTGCTTTTGGAAACCAATTACTTCCTAGCTCAGCATCATGGTACATGGTCTTTAACCAGCAAACTGTATTTTAGGTAAACTTCATATAATTTATACTTAACTCGTATTTTCTCGATTTTAAGAGTGTGAGAAACAGTGAATGTATATAAAAAAATTAGATCGCGATACACGATCTCTGGGCTTACGAATAGTCAAACTCGATTTTTCACTTTGATTCGTGATTATCCGAGTACTCGGATACTCGCCCCAGCCCTAGAAGTCAGTGTCCAGGGCCCATGACTCCTATTTTGGTGTCTGACAGTATTGTGACCATTTTTTTAAATTACAAATTTTACAATATCTGGGCTCTTGTTTAACTATTAAGGTAGACTATGGCTTATTGACACTGTAAGGAACTGTAAATTTGACAACTTAGGACAGTTATATGCCTTAAAGGTGACCTGTATGCAAATTTAAATAAAATTTACTGTGTGGTTTATGAGTTATGGATATATTTTTTAACTAAAACTTTGCTATAAGATGTTATTTTTTTTCAGAAATGAGGAAACTCTAAATAATCTATAATATCATTATGAAAAATGTTTCCTATTGCTTATTGTGAAGAAACAAATAATAACAAATTACACAAGCAAAATGATTACAAAATGTTACTCTACCCCACCCACTTTAAACTATTATTTGACCATTTCCCTATATGAAAAGGCTAATGCACAATATCCCTAAAATTTACCATGAGGGGCTGTTTTCAAAGTTTGCCATAATTTTCGTTAATGATTGATCATGCAAAATATGAAATACTTTTCCCATATAGTTTTTATTTTTATTAATCTTTGAAAATATCTGATCAAATTAAATTTGGCGTTTTTAGCAAATAAATACTTACAATAATTATATAATTACAATAAAACACTTTTTTCTTCCATAAGGGACCTGAGAGATACATAAATAATGTTAAAAAGGAAATAGAAAGAAAAAAAAGTTAAGTAAATAAATACCTTCAATAATTATATAATTAAAAAGAAATTTTTTCTTGCATTTTAATTGAGGGATCTGAGAGATTAATAAAAAATGTTAAAAAGAAAGAAAAGTTGCCCCTTCTGGGGTTTGAACCCACGCCCCTCAGTTTCAATACACTTTACAGTGATTCTAGCCTATTTGAATACTCTTCAAAGTGGAGATAGTGCATTAGGGGTGTACTACCTAAATTATGATTTCAGGTAGATCCAGCTATTTTTATGATTTCAGGTTGTTCATGGAATAATAATGATTTCAGGTAGATCCTAGATCCAGCTTTTATTTTGATTGCAGGTTGTTCTAGCTTTACTTAAGACTTCACGTAGATCCAGCTATTATTGTTATTTCAAGTTTTTCCTGCTATTATTGTGATTTCAGGTTGATCCTAGTTTAATGGTGAATTCAAATTGATTCTACTGTTGTGGTGATTTCAGATTGAATCTGCTTTCATTGTGATTTCAGGTTGATCCTTCCCTTATTGGAGGCATGGTTGTTAATATAGGAGATAAATTTGTCGATATGTCCATAGCCAGCAAGATGAAAAAGTACACGTCACTCTTGAAAGAAGCTGTATAAAATCAGGGACCATAGTGCTAACGTATTGTAATTTTGATATTTTGAAGTGTGCTCGAGAGATAGTGTTGAAAAATAAAAATTGCTCCTTAAAACACTGAAAACTATTCACCAAATTTAACATTTGACAGATAAAAACATTTTGCCTGTTGGTTGTACATGTATATTTTTAGCTCGACTTTTCTATGAAAAGGGGAGCTATCCTACTCGCCCCGGCGTCGGCGTCGGCGTTGGCGTCACACCTTGGTTAAGTTTTTCGTACCACCCCACTTTATTTCAGAAGTATTACAAGTATGGCTTTGAAACTTACCATACTTGTTCACCATCATAACCTCCATCTACAGACAAGAGTACATAACTCTGTCAAGGTTTTTGACAGAATTATGGCCCTTTTTTGACTTAGAAAGTGTATTGAGCTTGGTTAAGTTTTTTGTACCACCTCACTTTATTTCAAAACCATTGGAGGTATTGCTTTGAAACTGACCATACTTGTTTACCATCACGACCTTCATCAACAGACAAGAGGACATAACTCTGTCAAGGTTTTTGACAGAATTATGCCCCTTTTTGACTTAGAAAATACATTGAATATGGGTAAAATTTTTTTTCTTTCTTACCAGCCCTCTTTTGACTTAAACATTTCAAACTTTGCTGCAGTGTTCAAGGGTATCACACAATTCAGTAAAATAATTCTTCACTAAATATCTTAATGCTCATGGCCATTGTTCACTTTAAAAATACAGAGATTCTTGTATTGCCTTTTACTGCAAAAACTTTTTTTATTGGCAAGCAATAAAAAAGTCGAGCGCGCTGTCTTACGGACAGCTCTTGTTATATAATGTACTTGTTTTGGTTGAGCAGAATATAAATTTTTGAGTAAATTTGATAACACATATAATCAATAAAAATATTGGAAATGTTGTTTATTTGAAGTGTAAGAAATGCGAAAAAAATTTCCAGACATGTGTGAATAAAATTTATAATTAAAATGATGAATTTGTTGATTTCTTGTTTTTTGGACAGTATTAGCTACATGAGTTGGCTGTCTGTTGCCAAGTGGACAAGGTTGTTTATTTTAAACCACATGCCTATCTGCCTTCTCAAGGCTTTAGGTTCGAACTACACAAGCTGTGATGTATTCTACATGTGAAAGCTATCCAGCTAGCTAACAGAATTTCGGTGGTTCTTAATCTACTTGGATGCCCTTTTTAGCTTAACTATTCGATAAGAATAAGTAGAGCTATTGTAGTCACCCGAGCTTCGGCGTCGGCGTAACCACTTACGTTAAAGTTTTTGTAATACCTCAAATATTTTCAAAGTCCATTGACATATGGCTTTGAAATATTGCACACTTGTTTACCATCATGACCCCAATCTGTAGACAGGAGGAGGTAACTGTATCAAGCATTTTGACAGAACTATCCCCTTTTTTCGATGTAGAATTTAAGTTAAAGATTTTGTAATACCTAAAATATTTTCAAAGTCCATTGACATATGGCTTTGAAACTTTGCACACTTGTGCACCATCATGACCCCAATCTGTAGACAGGAGGAGGTAACTATCAAGCATTTAGCAGAATAATGCCCCTTTTTCCACTTAGAATTTAGTTTAAACATATTTTATTCATCAATTTTTACAAGCATGTAACATTTTTACATCACAATATATATGGATTGGAAAACAAGCATAACACTTATATTAATTCCTTTCCATGATGGAGTTTCGTCTTTGTTATTTCACTTTATATGATCAGTGCATGTTTTTAAGTTCAAAATTGATCTAAATTTATAATTTTTCGGAAGGTTTTACTTGATTTTTTGTTCATTCATTTTCCCTTTTAATAAAAAAAAGAGAGAAGAAAATAAAAATAATAATAACAATAAAAAAAAAAAAGTTGTGTCATACAGTTTGTCATGGAAATACGATGTTTAAAACGCTGAGTCGGGAATTATGAATCGAAACGCTTTGATGCTTCAATGAAGCTCTGGACAAGTGTGAACAGATTCTGATTGATGTCCATACTTAGGCGATACTTAGAATTTACATTTAAGTTTGCATACCACCTCAGATATTTACATATTCTATTGACCTCTGGCTTTGAAACAAGTTGAAATTTTATGCTCTTCTTTGAGAGCATAATAGGACTCTCTTTAAGGCCTATAACTGTAACATAGATTAAAAGAAAAATTTTGCCCTTTTGTTAACTTTGAAAGCTTTACATTATCAGGGCTATTTTTACTATCAAGCACTAAGAATAGTCGAGCATTGCTGACCTATCGACAGCTCTTGTTGCCTTAAATAATGTACAGAGGGGCACCTGAGGTCTTCATCCACTAGTAAAGCTGTGTTGCGTTGGTGCAACAATAAAACTCAATACCAAAGAGAATAATAAAATCTGCACAAGTCTGTTTGGTCATCATTCAGTTTTTTAGATCATCTACATACTCCTGGCCAATAATTGAGCACATGGAAACTGTAATAAACAACTATGGAATCAAATACAGAGTTTTTGCGTTTATTTTTGAGACCTAATTTATCTTTAAGAATAGAATTTTTCAAACAAAGAGCATACTACTAGTTGAAAAACAATAAAACATCAAAGAAGATTGAAAGATACATCTACCTTCATTTGTTTTTTAGCTCACCTGTCACAAAGTGACAGGCTGAGCTTTTGTGATCGCTTTTCGTCCGGCGTCCGTCCGTCCGTCCGTAAACTTTTGCTTTAAATGACATCTCCTCATAAACCACTGAGCCAATTTCATCCAAACTTCACAGGAATGTTCCTTTGGTGGTCACCTTTAAAAATTGTTCAAAGAATTTAATTCCATGCAGAACTCTGGTTGCCATGGCAACCGAAAGAAAAATCTTTAAATATCTTCTTTTAAACAACCCTGAGAGCTAGAGCTTAGATATTTGGCATGAAACATCTTCTTATGAGTGTCTACCAAGTTTGTTCAAATAAAAGCCCTGGGGTCAAAATTGGCCCCGCCCCAGGGGGTCATTGATTTTCCCTATATGCATATAGTAAAAACTTAAAAAATCTTCTTTTAAAGAACCCAAAGAGCTAGAGCTAAGATATTTGGCATGAAACATCTTCTAGTGAGTGTCTACCAAGTTTGTTCAAATAAAAGCCCTGGGGTCAAAATTGGCCCCGCCCCGGGGGGTCATTGATTTTCCCTATATGCATATAGTAAAAACTTAAAAAATCTTCTTTTAAAGAACCCAAAGAGCTAGAGCTAAGATATTTAGCATGAAACATCTTCTAATGAGTGTCTACCAAGTTTGTTCAAATAAAAGCCCTGATGTCAAAATTGGCCCTGCCCCAGGGGGTCATAGATTTTCCCTATATGCATATAGTAAAAACTTAAAAAATCTTCTTCTAAAGAACCCAAAGAGCTAGAGCTAAGATATTTGGCATGAAACATCTTCTAGTGAGTGTCTACCAAGTTTGTTCAAATAAAAGCCCTGGGATCAAAATTGACCCTGCCCCAGGGGGTCATAGATTTTCCATATATGCATATAGTAAAAACTTAATTTTTTTTTTAAAGAACCCAAAGAGCTAGAGCTAAGATATTTCGCATGAAACATCTTCTAGTGAGTGTCTACCAAGTTTATCAAATAAAAGCCCTGGGGTCAAAATTGGCCCCGCCCCGGGGTGTCATTGATTTTCCCTATATGCATATAGTAAAAACTTAAAAAATCTTCTTTTAAAGAACTGTAAGAGCTAGAGCTTAGATATTTGGCATGAAACATCTTCTAGTGAATGTCTACCAAGTTTGTTCAAATAAAAGCCCTGGGGTCAAAATTGGCCCCGCCCCATGGGGTCATTGATTTTCCCTATATGCATATAGTAAAAACTTAAAAAATCTTCTTTTAAAGAACCCAAAGAGCTAGAGCTAAGATATTTAACATGAAACATCTTCTAATGAGTGTCTACCAAGTTTGTTCAAATAAAAGCCCTGGGGTTAAAATTGGCCCGGCCCCGGGGGGTCATTGATTTTCCCTATATGCATATAGTAAAAACTTAAAAAATCTTCTTTTAAAGAACTCAAAGAGCTAGAGCTAAGATATTTAGCATGAAACATGTTCTAATGGGTGTCTACCAAGTATGTTCAAATAAAAGCCCTGGGGTCAAAACTGGCCCCGCCCGGGGGTCATTGATTTTCCTTATATGTGTATAGCAAAAAGTTAAAAATCTTCTTTGAAAAAACCCAAATAGCTAGAGTTTAGATATTAAGCATGAAACATCTTTAAGTAAATATCTACACAGTTTGTTCAAATAAAAGCCCGGGGGTCAAAACTGGCCCTGCCCCAGGAGTGTCATTGTTTTTAACTATATGTGTATAGTGAAAACTTAAAAAATCTTCTTTTAAAAAACCCAATGAGCTAGAACTTACATTTTTAGCATGAAACATCTTCTTATGGGTGTCTACCAAGTCTGTTCATATAAAAGCCCTTGGGTAAAAATTGGCCGGGGGGGGGTGGGGGCTATATACAGGTGAGCGACCTCAGGGCCATCATGGCCCTCTTGTCATTATGTACATATAGTAAAAAGGTTTTTTTTTTTAAAAAAAATCCTTCTCATCTTGTATGATAAAGGCTAGAGATTACATACTTGGCATGAATCATTGTGCAGTGGACCTTTACCAAGTTGATTAAAATTATGGCCCTGGGATAAAGAAGCCCAATCCTCTGGGTCATAAGTATTCGTTATATACATTAAAGAAAAACTAAAAAAAGCTTTTCTATAATGCAGAAAGCTTCATGTAACATTGTCTGTATTAATATTGACTAAAGTGAAGCCTTGGGGGTCAAAATGAGCCCTGTCCCCGTGGACAATGTAACCTACCTTTTTGTTGTTTGATATACGAAATTTGGACCATGTGTACGGTTTAAGATATAGAATGGAAATGTTATATGAGCTGGCCTAGCTTTTGACCAAGTGACTAACTATTTTGTCCTTTGCTGTAGACAAAAGAGATGTAAAACTATGAGATTTGAACCATGTGTACAGTTTTACTTTAGTATCAGCCAACCTATACTTTGACTAAGTGACCTACATTCTTTTCCTTTAATGTACAGCAATGAAATTTGGACCATGTGCAGAG